GGGGGGTCAGGAACAGGAACGCGTTTCTGGTGTGTGGGTTCCCCCTCTTTCTATTTTTTTTTCTTTTTTGAGACGGAGTTTCGCTCTTGTTACCCAGGCTGGAGTGCAATGGCGCGATCTCGGCTCAGCGCAGCCTCCGCCTCCCGGGTTCAGGCAATTCTCCTGCCTCAGCCTCCTGAGTAGCTGGGATTACAGGCACGCACCACCATGCCCAGCTGATTTTTTTTTTGTATTTTTAGTAGAGACGGGGTTTCACCGTGTTGACCAGGATGGTCTCGATCTCTTGACCTCGTGATCCCCCTCTTTCTTAGCAGAAGTTCTCTCTTCGACATCCCAGCTTTCCAAGACTAGTTTTTGAATGTTAGCACCTAGGAGAAATTTTTCTTGCTACCATTAATACTTTATCGACATTAAAAACAGTTGGGGGCCAGGCTCTGTGGCTCACGCCTGTAATCCCAGCACTTCGGGAGGCCGATCGGAAGCGGATCATGAGGTCAAGAGATCGAGACCATCCTAGCCAACATGGTGAAACCCCGTCTCTACTAAAATATAAAAATGAGCTGGGCGTGGCATGTGCCTGTAATCCCAGCTACTCAGGAGGCTGAGGCAGAAGAATTGCTTCAACCTGGGAGGCGGAGGTTGCAGTGAGCTGAGATCGCGCCACTGCACTCCAGCCTGGTGCTTGGTGACGAAGCGAGACTCTGTCTCAAAAAAAAAAAAAAAGTTGGAATGGCCTGGAGCAGTGGCTCACCCTCAATTCCAGCACGTTAGGAAGCCCAGGCAGGGGGTCGCTTGAGGCCAGAAGTTCAAGACCAGACTGGAAAACAGCGAGACCCCATCTCAATAAAAATAAAAAATGAACCAGGTGTGGTGGTGCACACCTGTAGGCCCAGCTCAGGAGGCTGACGTGGGAGAATCACTTGAGCCTGGGAGGTCGGGAGGTCGGCGCTGCAGTGAACCTAAGTGCACCACTGCTCTCCAGCCTGGGACAGAGCACGATCCTGTCCTGCCCCAAAAGAGAAAAAAGTTGGAATGAGGGAGGGGTGATGGGAAGTCCATGTTTAATGGGTTTGGGATTTTACCTGGGGGAGGTGGAAAAGTTCTAGAGGTGGTGCTGGTGATGGCTGCACAATGTGACTGTGGCTGATGCCCCCAAACCTTGCACTTTTAAAAAAACTCGGTTGGCCAGGTGTGGTGGCTCACACCTAATCCCAGCACTTTGGGGTGCCAAGGCAGGCAGATCGGGTCAGGAGACTGAGACCATCTCGGCAACATGGTGAAACCCTGTCTCTACTAAAAATACAAAAATTGCCTGGGCATGGTGGCACGTGCCTGTAGTCCCAGCGACTTGGGAGGCTGAGGCAGGAGAATCACTTGAACCAGGGAGTCGGAGGTTGCAGTGAGCCCAGATCATGCCACTGCACGCCAGCCTGGCGACAAAGTGAGACTCTGTCTCAAAAACAAAACAAAACAAAACATCTCGGCTAAAATGGTAAATTCTGTGTTGTATGTATTTTACAGTAAAGCAAATGGTTTAATGTATTTTCTGGGAGGGAGGGACAGAGTGTCACTCACTCTGTCGCCCAGGCTGAAGGGTAGTGGCATGATCTTGGCTCACTGCAGCCTCCACCTCCTGGGTTCAAGCGATTCTCCTGCCTCAGCCTCCTGAGTAGTTGGGACTACAGGCACCTGCCATTATGTCTGGTTAATTTTTGTATATTTGGTAGAGACAGGGTTTCACTGTGTTGCCAGGTTGGTCTTGAACTCCCGGCCTCAGGTGATCCGCCTGCCACGGCCTCCCAAAGTGCTGGGATGACGGGCATGAGCCACTGCGCCCAGCCTGGTCCCTGTTACGGTTCTTTTCTCAAGCCCTGGTCTTGTCATACATGTGCTCTGCATGTTCTGAGGCTCAGTGTTCTGTTGCAGATTGAGGGGGGCCGTGGGGCCATCACAGCTCTCACCGTCACTGCTGTGGCTTCCTCTCCTGTTACCAGGTCAGCCCAGGATCCTGTGAATTATACTCACCCACTTCCCGTTTTTGGGGTCTCTGTCCTCGAGGCTGAGGCTGTTTTAGGACCATGATTCTGTGTATTTTGTCTAGTTTTTAGTTGTTTCAAGCAGGAGGCTAAACCCAGTTCCTGCTACGCAACTTTGACCTTCACTGGAAGTCTCAAATCCCCAGTGTCTTGATTTATGGTGTTTTCATTGTCATTTTATAAGTACTCCCTAATTTCTTTTTTTTGTTTGTTTTTGAGACAGGGTCTTGCTCTGTCGCCCAGGCTGGAGTGCGGTGGTGCAAACGTGGCTCACTAGAGCCCTGACCTCCTGGGCTAAAGCAATACCCCGCCTCAGCCCCTCAGGTAGCTGGGACGACAGGCGTGTGCCACACACCGGCTGATTTTTGTATTTTTGTAGAGATGGGGTTTTGCCCATGTTGCCAGGCTGGTCTTGAACTCCTCTTGGGCTCAAGCAGGCTGCCTGCCTCGGCCTCCAAAGCGCTGGAATTCCAGGCATGAGCCACTGTGCCTGGCCTCTCATTTCTATTACTATTGTTTTTTAACTCAGGAGTTACTTGGAAATTTTTAAAATTTCAAAATGCATGGGATTTTTGGTCCTTTTTTAAAACACTGACTTCTAACCTATTTGAATTGCAGTTGGGTAATGTAACCTGTGTGACACAGACTCTCTGCAATTGGTTCAGACTTTCTTCATGGGCTGATATGTGGCCTGTTTTTGCTCATGCTCCTCACACGTCTGGGAAGCACATGTGTCCCGGCAGCGGACGCAGCATGTGGGTGGAAGCACATGTGTCCTGGCAGCAGACGAAGCGTGTGGGTGTTTCTCCTGACCCATGCTCATGTGCACAAATTCTTGTCGCCACTTCCTGTCCCCTTCACCCACGCGTTATGGAAAGAGGTGTTAGGCTCTCTGTGGGGTGCAGACCCGGCAGCGTCTCTGTTTTGGCTCCGGTGTGTCGTGGGGTGGTGGTGTCTGCTGCCTGCCGCCCCTTCCCCTTCCTGCCAAGTCGCTCCTGTGCCACGGGTGACCCTCTTTTCCCTCCAGCGATTCTCGTTGCTAGTCCGGAGGCCGCAGCACAGGCCCGTGTGGCTCCCGTTGCGTTTGCCTTCTGCTTTCCGCTTTCCTGTGTCCTCATGTTCCGTGGGGTAAACCTTATAAAAATGGTTGTTGTTTTTTTTAAATAAAAAAAACAGCTCCACGTGGGCTTACTGCTGTCTCACTAACTTTTGTTTTTTAAATAAAACACCCATGTCCATTAGATCATTTAGCCACATGTAACTACAGTTCCCCTTCCCTGATATTCAGCCAAGTGGAGCTTTGTTTATCTCCTGGGACAAGACCCAGAGAAAGGAACCAAGGTCACAACGGCACCTTGTGGTCCTCGGGTCCAAGCCCCGGGTGCTGGCGCTCAGCACTGGGTGCAAGGCTTTTACTCCCGTGCCCCGGGAGCAAGCCTCCACGTCCAGGCTCAGGACTGGCTTTCCAGGCAGGACGCAGGGAGGGGTAAGAAAAGCACATTGCAGAGTGGCAGTCAGCCTGTATCCTGGTGCTCGTGGGCTGCCATCTCACCGCTCAGGCCTGGCCTGCGGCCCGCGCAGCACACAAAGCCAGCTGCATTTGGTACCAAACCACCACTGAGGTGGGTTGCTGGGCCCCTCTCTGATGCCCTACTGTACGCTGCGCATCTGTGCCTCGACCATCCTGCCCCTGCCCTGAACACCCTAGCTCTGCTGTGACCACACTGCCCCTCCCCCAAACACCCTGCCCCAGTGACCCTGACCCTTTCCTGACCATCCTGCCCCTGCCCCAAACACCCTGCCCCGACCATCCTGCCCCGACCATCCTGCCCCTGCCCGACCATCCTGCCCCTGTCCCGACCATCCTGCTCCTGCCCTGAACACTGTAACCCTGCCCTGACCACCCTGCCCCTGCCCCGATGACCCTGCCCCTACCACAGCGACCCTGCCCCTGCCCTGACAGCCCCAACCCCCATCTGAGCTGCTGCTTCCTCTTCCTTCAGCCTGTGCAGGTCACCGAGGTATGGGGAGAGACAGGGATGTGGGGAGCAGTCTGCTGTGCCCTGGGGAAGGCCTGGGACTAGACCCACAAGCTTCACTCTGGTGGCCTCAGGAGAGTTTTCTTACCGTGCCTGTGGGTGTCTGGACCTGCAGTCAGCGATGGTTCAGGAATGCCGTTGAGGCCGTGTCTGGGGCTTCTGTGGCTTTCCCCGGGTTTGGGGCAGCAACAGGTGCTTCTGGATTAAATCTCCAGTTGTAGCCGCTGGAAGCCAAGGACGCCCAGTGAGACGTGAACTCCAGACACGCTGCACAAAGCCACGGACGCTAGAGAGCTGTGGTTGCGTGTCTGAAATTCACATTTGACCGGACGGATTAGCCGGCTCTCGCCCCATCCCCTGGAAGGGTGTGGGCCAGCGGCCTTGGAAACTGCCTCTCACCTGGGCTGTCCCTCCCAGGCTGCACCCCCAGGAAGTGCGGCAGAGGCGTCACCGATACCGTCATCACCAGGGAGGAGGCGGAGCGGATTCGCAGGTAACTGCCCATCCCTGAGCACCGTGGGATTTAAACAAACATGCAGTCGTGGAGTGGGGCTGAGGTGGGGCAGAGCATTATTAGTAATAAAGTGGTTTTAAAGATTTTATTAGAATTTCATAAGAATTTCCTTATGTGCTTTCAAGGGCCAAGCTCAGATTTTCTGATTTCAGGAGAGGAGGCCACGGCCCTCCGTGGAGCCGTAGCTGAGTGCGTGCCCGGAGCCCCGGGCTCCTCTGCAGGGTTACGCTGCCTCTGGGGGCTGCCAAGTGCCCCGTGCTCACCGCGGAGTCTCCAGGAGACTGCTTGATGAGCGCCCAGTGTCTTCCCTGAGACTGCCTCGGGGCAGCCCTTCAGCCGACCTGGCTGAGACCTGTGGCAGCACAGCACGCCACGCGGGGCAGCTGGCGCTGGACTTTTCTTATTGAGATCTTAAAAGGAAGTTTCGTTTTCCAGCCGCTCTGAGATGGTGTGCAGCCGTGGGCCACTGCCCCACCCTGAGATTCCTGCCCTCAGGGCGCCTGCCCCTGAGGATGCTGCCCAGCGCCACGCGGGGTTACTGCGGTCTCACTAAGGCAATGGCGCGTCCCTGCTCAGTGTCCATGGGCGGCTCCCAGCACCTGCAGCAGCTCGGGGTGGTCCTCTCAGGTCCAGCACGGCCGGCGCGTGGGTATCTTCCTCACCACGGGCAGGGCCTCGATCTCCTGAGCTGGTGAATCTCAAAGCTGCCTCCACCTGCCTGCGGTCCCAGGAGAGACGGGGAGCAGCAAGCCCTCTCCCAGATGCTCCCCAGGCCCCTGAGCTTGGTCCAGGTTGCTCTCGATGTTGAAGATGAGAGATTACGTCATTTTTATTATTATTATTTTTTGAGATGGAGTCTTGCTCTGTCACTCAGGCTGGAGTGCAGTGGTGCGATCTCGGCTCACTTCAACCTCCGCCTCGGGTTCAAGCGATTCTCCTGTCTCAGCCTCCCAAGTAGCTGGGATTACAGGCGCCCACCACCACCACGCCAGCCAATTGTTGTATTTTTAGTAGAGACAGGGTTTCACCATGTTGGCCAGGCTGGTCTCAAACTCCTGACCTCAGGTGAGCCACCACCTCGGCCTCCCAAAGTGCTGAAGTCCAGCCGTTTCTACGCTGAGTCAGGTATTGACAAGACTGAGATGACGATATTGTTGTTTAGGCACTGAGCTTTGAAAGTTGAGTCCTTTGGTCTAAACATTGGTTTACATCCTAAACATTAAACAAGCAGGACCCACTGACATGGCAGTAACTGTGCTGATGGATGTTCTGCCTAGATGATACATTATAGACAATTCTAGTGACTAAATTCTGAATTGTTTTCTCCCCACAGCATAGCTGAGAAGGGGCTCTCTCTGGGAGGCTCTGACGGAGGGGTGAGTTGAATGCAGTTCCTGCCCTTTTTTTTTACACTTTAACTTTGCTCTCACTCGGAGGGACGGGGCACAGATGTGCAGGGTCCCCGGGTGTCCCCAAATGTAGGTGGGGCCAGCTGTGGTGTCTCTCAGCACCCACTGCAGCAGCTGTGCCTGACTGAAGCCCACGTATGGCCTCTCATTGGGAAGAGCGTGTCCTTAGATGTGCGTGGCCATCTCTTCACGGCCTATCATAGCCTGCCTGGCTCCAGGTCACATGAGGGAGGATGGAGGGGGTCGGAAGCAGGGAGCCGGCAAGGGAGAGGGGTGGGAGCCCAGTGAGGAGACGGCTGTGTGCCCTGGACACGGGAGAGCCCGCGGAGCTGCTGGGAAACAGCAGAGCCTCCGTGGGACAGATGCTGTGATGCATCTCATTCCTCCGTGGACGCCTGCCGGGGCTGCCGTCCCCTGTGTGATGCTGTGGGAGGGCAGCTGGTGGCCTTGCAGAATGTGTCCACCTGGAGCCCGTGGACACGATCTGATTTGGAGATGGGACCTTTGCAGATATAATTAACTTAAGGCTCTCAAGATGAGATCACCCCAGATTCAGGGTAGGTCCTAAATCCAATGGCAAGCGCCCGTAGGAGACAGAAGCAGGGGGGAGATTTGAGAGAGAGGAGGAAAAGGTCCCCTGCAGACAGAGGCAGAGAGGGAGCCCGCGGCCTCGGGAAGTGGCGGGCAGGACCTCCCCTGGAGCCCCGGAGGGAGCAGGGCCCCGCCCACAGCTCGATTTTAGACCTCTGCCCTCCAGAGCTGTGAGAGAATGAACTTGTGTGTTTTTCTCTTTTCTGAACTTGTATTGTTTTAAAGCCCCAGTTTGTGTTACTGCAGCCACAGGGAACACGGAGCCCGCGCCCGCTGTGGCCTCGCCGTCCTGATGGGCGGCAGCTGGGAGTCAGTCCCCGGCACGGCCGGTGTTAGCACGAATTCCCATGCGGTTTTCCCAGGGTCATTTTCTTCCTTGGGGTGTGGACTTGTCTGAAGATCTGTTTCTCTCTGTGTATTTGGCGATCGTTTTGAGTTATAAGCATTGCGGAGACCCAAGTCTAAGCATTCCGCATATTTTAAACCTCCAGGAATACTAATTTATAGACTCTTCAAGAATTTCAAAGTGTTTCCTTTTTCTTTTTTGGGATGGAGTCTCACTCTGTGGCCCAGGCTGGAGTGCAGTGGTGTGATCTCGGCCCGCTGCAACCTCTGCCTCCCAAGTTCAAGAGATTCTCCTGCCTCAGCCTCCCAAGTAGCTGAGATTCAGGTGCCCGCCACCACACCTGGCTAATTTTGTATTTTTGGTAGAGACGGGGTCACCATGTTGGCCAGGCTGGTTTTGAACTTCTGGCCTCAAGCAATCCACCCAGCTCAGCCTCCCAAAGTACTGGGATTACAGGCCCGAGCCACCTCGCCTGGATGGTCTGGGAGGATTTTAAGGTTGAGGCTGGGCGTAGTGGCTCACGGCTGTAATCCCAATACTTTGGGAGGCTGAGGTGGGAGGATCACTGGAGCCCAGGAGTTTGAGACCAGCCTGGGTAATATAGTGAGATCCCATCTCTACGAAAAATAGAAAAATTAGCCAAGTGTGGTGGCGAGCACCTTCAGTTCCAGTTACTTGGGAGGCCAAGGTGGGAGGATTGCTTGGCCTGGAGCGTGGCATGTGGAGGCTGCAGTGAGCTGAGATTGTGCCACTGCACTCTAGCCTGGGTGACAAAGTAAGATCCTTTTTACAAAAAAATAAAATAAAATCCTGGAGTGTGTGCAGGATGGACCTTGGTAACTCACATTTACCATCAGTGACTTTAACACAGCCGTGGCCGTTGCTGTGGCCACACGCTTTCCTCCGCAATGTCTTCTCCAGGCGTCCATTCTGGACTTGCACTCCGGGGCCCTGTCTGTCGGGAAGCACTTTGTGAATCTGTACAGGTGAGTGCTGCAGCATGACCTCAGTACTGGCTCTGAAGGCCGAGTGAGCGGCTCCGTGCCTCTTACCATGGACACGTGGACACGTGAGGGAGGGTCTGTCTCGGGGCAGCCTCAGGGCCTCAGTGGCTGTGATGCTGGCCGGACACAGGAGCTGGGAGGTGTGGGCTCTCTGCAGCCTGTGGGCCGGAGGCTTGTTCATGAAACTTCAGGGGAATCTGGCGTTTTCTGTGGGCCCAGGGACAGAAGGGGTGGGTGCAGGAGGCAGCAGAGGTGGAAGGCTCCCAGGAGCAGCCGCCGACAATCCGAGGGGCGGGGGAGGAGAGACCCTCCCTGCCTCACACGCTAGCCCGGGTCCTGCTCTCAGCCGGCCCCTTCTTTGTTATTATTACTGTTATTTTCTGAGATGGAGGATCGCTCTGTCACCCAGGCATGAGCCACTGCGCCCGGCCCCGGCTCCTCTCCTTCTTTATCCTGTAGTAGTTACCACTGTAGAAATGGAGTCGCGAGGACCAGTTGATTTTCAGGGATTTGCAGGTTAGCTTAAGGAATGACCGAATTGAAAGGAGATGAACAACAGATTAAGGAAGTGTGTTGTGAATTCTCCTTTTTTTTCACAGATATTTTGGGGATAAAATACAGAACATCTTCTCAGAGGAGGACTTCCAGTTATACCGGTAAGGAGGAGTGAGGCGGGTAGGGGATTGCAGGTGGGGTGGCCTGGGGCTGAGGGGTGTGGGGAGCTGACCCGTCTGGGGAGGCCCCACAGAGAGGCCCAGGGGCCAGGGTCAGGGCCTGGCCCAGAGACGAGTTTTCACAGAGCAAAGGCCGGGGCAGGCCCAGCGTGGCCAGGGTGCGCCCGGGTCAGTGAAACTGATCTGGAGTCCTGTGGCTGTATCCTGGTCAGGACCTCTTGTTTTCTGCTGTGTAAAATCAGCCCAGTTTTTAAAATTCTGCTGGATGAGGCCGGGCGTGGTGGCTGACGCCTGTAATCCCAGCACTTTGAGTGACTGGGCTAATCACCTGAGGTCAGGAGTTCAAGACCAGCCTGGTCAACATGGTAAAACCCTGTCTCTACTAAAAATATAAAAATTAGCTGGGCATGGTGACGGGTACCTGTAATCCCAGCTACTTGGGAGGCTGAGGCAGGAGTATTGCTTGCACCCTGGGGGCAGAGGTTGCAGTGAGCCAAGATCGTGCCATTGTACTCCAGCCTGGGTGACAGAGTAAGACCCCGTCTCAAAAAAAAAAAAAAAATCTGCTGGAGGAGCCCAGGTTGGGATGAGGACAAAGGAGCCAAGTGTCACGCACCGTCCCAGGACGCACACGTGCCCCCTCAGGCCTGTGCCCATCCATTTCAGCGCCTCTCGGGTCTGACACATGGGGTCTTCTGAGCGTGAGTCCCCTTGTCCCCCCCACCCCGTACAGACACGCCATCCACATTTAGCAGGCTCCACGCCCCTTCCACGCCCACGTCAGGGGATAGCAGCCTCTTCCTTGCTGAATAGGAGGCTGGGCTCCCAGCCCTGCAAATCCGCCCTGGGACTCTGGCATCGGGGCCCCGAATCCGCACCAGTCTCCCCAGCGTGGGTCCCGCGGGCGCCCTTCTCCCTCCTCCCAGTCCCGCTGCTGTGGTCGCTCTCTCCGCGCGTGGGCGGCGGCCACGTGCTCCCCGGGCAGAGCCAGGATCTGTTCCCGCTGTGCTGGCCGGCCCCTCTTCCTGGCACCCACAGGTCGGGACCCACGGGCGTCCCCTCCCGCCTGCGGCTGCGCTGACGGCTGGCGTGTCCTCTGCAGGGAGGTGCGGCGGAAGGTCCAGCTGACCATCGCGGAGGCTTTCGGCATCAGCGCGGCCTCGCTGCATCTGACCAAGCCCACCTTCTTCTCCCGGATAAACAGCACGGAAGCGCGGACAGCGCACGACGAGTACTGGCACGCGCACGTGGACAAGGTGAGCACGCGCGGACTGGGTGAGCGCGCACGAGGACAGGGTGAGCGCGCGCGCGGACTGGGTGAGGACAGGGTGAGCGCGCGTGAGGACAGGGTGAGCG